CTCCCTCGCCAGTCCCGCCACGGCCTGAATCAGGAGGCCTGGGGCAGAGCAGCTGGAGTGCTGCTGGGTTGCTCCAGTAGCGCTGAGGAGCTGTGCTACTGGAGCAACCCAGCAGCACCCCAGCTGTTCTGCCCCAGGTGTCCCCAAGTCAGCCGTTGCTGAAACTGACCAGCGGCTGACTACAGGGAGCCCGAGGCAGAGTTGCTCTGACCCAGGCTTCCTGGAATCAGCCGCTGATCAGTTTCAGCAGCAGCTGACTTGGGGACACCTGGGTTTCTTAAGTTGAATCTGTATGTAAGTCAGAACTGGCGTCCAGATTCAGCCGCGGTTGAAACTGATCAGTTTCAGCAGCGGCTGACACCAGTTCCGACTTACATACAGATTCAACTTAAGAACAAACCTACAGTCCCTATCTTGTACGTAACCCAGGGACTGCCTGTATTCAGAAATTTAAAAAGGTATTACCTAGATTAGTAAACTACGCCCAGAAGAGAATGAGGACTAAGTGCAAAGACTTGAGGCTTGAAGTATAGATGGTGTGCTCGTATTGACTAGCCCCAGTCAAGAAGGATGAATGCTTGGAGGTAATAAAACATGACCCTCTCACTGAACAGGGCTATTTGCTGCTTCCTTGCTAGCTGCAGATGAAAAAGGGCCCTGTGACCTTAATATAGGGTCCTGAGAATCTGGGAACAGCTGTAGTTTGTATTTTGTTTGGCAAAGGCAGACATAAATTCTGACAAAAGGTGCAAATCCTGCTTCTGCACATTTTGTTAAGTTTTCGCTATCACAATGTATTCTATTCCACCTGGTTTGAGTGGCATCCAGATGTCTTTTGTGGCCAGGCTTTGGAAGAGAAATTAGGCTGTGTAATCTGTAAAGGAAATGGTAGGTGTTGAACTGGTTTACTTTGATCTTCTGTACTGTTCATAACATATAATATTTTAAAAACAAGACATACCTCCATATTAGATCATGGCTTAGATACAAATGTCCATCCATGGATGCAGATTTCTGTTTGTAGACATCAGTGTCTGCTGATCTGAAGGGCTCCATTCCCAGGAGATGCAGTGGGCAAAGGAGATGAGGTGTGGTTCCGTAGCACCTGAGACCCAGAGTTCTGTGCTGGCAGCATCTTTTCCCCTCAGCAACTGCTGCTCCTACTCTTCTCCTCCCCCTCCTCCAGTCCTGTTGCCTCTTTCTGATAGAGGTAGCAATGCGGGGGTGGGAAGTCACTAGTCAAGTCACTAATCGACTCCAATAAGCATATGCATATAGGTTAATATACTAATCGCTTATATTCCTAGGCTGTCCTGCCCCTAGACCTGCCCCCAACCACATCTCCTGTCTGGGATGTACAGCCTTACTGGTGGTGGGACTGGAGGCAGTGCAGCCACACTGCCTGCTGGAGCTGCTGGCTCCCAGGGGTGGCGGCACTTTGCTCATCTCCTTTGGCCACAGCATCTCTTTGGAACGCAGCCCTGCAGATCAGCGCATGCTGATGTCTTATCTGCAGATATCCGCATCCACAGGTAGACATTTGTATTCATGGCAAGTTCTATCCATACTCCTTTCTGAATATTTTTGAGTGAAATATTCTTTTGACTTTTACTGCTAAACAAATTACATCTTTTCTCATAAGCTTTTAAATGTATTTTATCATTGCATCACTTTGGAGAAAATGAGCCCAGCCGTTATTACCTGCAGAAGTTTACATTCATACCCCTTTATTAACACACATGTTTTATATTTCAGAAACTGAAGTGACAGGGCATACCACAAATATTACCCATCTTCCTCCTGAAGTAATGCTGACCGTTTTCAGTTACCTTAACCCTCGGGAGTTGTGTCGATGTAGTCAAGTAAGCACTAAGTGGTCTCAACTGGTTAAAACTGGATCTCTTTGGAAACATCTTTACCCTGTTCACTGGGCTAGAGGTACCTGACTGAATTTTTCATCTGTTTTTAAAAAACATTTCAAGGATCTGATTTTGGAGCCTGCAAAATATAATAATTTGTGTAATTAATTTAAATTAACTGTATGTAGGCTCTCTATTTGGTCATGGTGGTATTACGTAGTTTAATTTGATGTGATAAGAGCTGATTTTGATAGAGGAAACAGTTACAAGCTTGGTTTAATATTTTATTTTTTGGTAGTCTTGGAAAACACACTATAAGAATGAACTGTATACACTTTAGCATATTACTATCTAACAATTTCTAATTGGCAATACATATTAGTAATGGGAAGTAATGTGAGTCTATTGTGTTCTGTAACCTTTTGTTCTAAATGATAATATTGTAGCTGCTTTAGTAGTCAAATTGCAATGGATTCAGAGACTTTTGTATAGTAAAAGTGAAATTTCCTATTTTAGTAATGATGCAAGCTTGTCTTACTACAGATTGGTTCTTCCTAGTCTGGCACCCTCAGGACCCGACCCATCCTAAATGAGGGAATTTGCTGGATCAGGGGAGGTTCCTGGCCTCCCAACCCGCTACCTCTCCGTGTGGTTGGCTCCATTCCACTGCTGCTGGGCTCTGGTGCCATGGGCTGCCTGGGGCTCCATGGACA